CTTCTACTCTTTGTTGTGCATCTTTGTGCCAATTTTGGTGTCTGTTCATCGCTTATTCGCTTAGAAAAAAGGGTTTATCTGAATTTCTTGAAACTCTTTTGAATTTCCCGCACAAACGCCAGCATTGGAACGAACGCTGAAACTTTGCTGGAGCAGGCTTTTGAACGGTCTTTAGGTGTGTATGGAATTACTCTGAATTGAGCATTGAATAAGAAGGAAATAGTTTAGCCGCATGTATGAACAACCGCGTTAGGAAGGAGAGGGGAGAGTAGGTAGCTTCAAAACTCTTGCTGTGGAAAGGGCGGTCTTAATTGAGAATGAACTCCGCTCTTCTCCGGATCCCATACGATTTCCCCTTTGCTTCTTCCAGAAAAACGAATTCCAGCTTGCCTTCCGGAGACCTGCTGCCGAGGTCTGACCTAAAGGATTTGTTAGACGAAACTAACCAATTTGCACAATCGAATCGTGTAAACATTTTTGTGCTGTCGTACGATGATCTTCACTTTTGCTCGATAAATGTGACATGAGGGCGAGAATGAGTTGATTTAGAACGGCCTTCAAGTGTGCCTCCGTCGAGTACATCCTGGGAAAAAACAATTCAGAAGACATCACATCAAGCAACAGTTATTTCCTTGCAAAGGAGCTGATACGAACATACTTGCTGAGAATAGGTAGAGATGCTAAGTAGGTGTCAAGGCCTTCTAAAGAAACTTTGCTATTGATATCGTTCAATCGTCCGATAAACGCTTCCATCAGCTAGAAATGCACGATTGTTGAATAATAATGTTATTTGTTCTACAAGTAAGTCTGATACCTTCGTATCGCTGGCGATTGCTTTTGGAGTTGATATGGTCATTTCCAAGAACCGTTTTAGGCCACCAATACGTCTTTCCCATCTGAAAAAATGGAATTTGAGACTTGAAACATCTCAACGATGTTGACGAATTATGGATTAGTGTTCCGTTGTTTGACTTACCCAGCCGCAGTAAGGTCGGCTTTAATCTCATCGAGGTCGAGTTGGACATTATCAGGCAGTTTCCTCTGCACAGCTTTTCGCATACTACCTGTTCGAGATAGGGAAGATGATAATGAAATGCTCGTACTATCCAAGGAATCAAGGCCACCCTGAAATAGGAGCTCGTAAGTAATGAAAAGAAACAATTAAAAATTAAATCTCAGATCTGCAAACCTAGCAAACTTTGTATGCATAGCTTTCTTAGAGAACAAGCAATTTCACATTGACTTGTAGAGACAAGAATATTTTAAGTAAATTTCAAAATTTTGCAATCTTAAAAAGTAGTATACCTTTTTCCCAATGTCATCTAAGATTTCCTTTACTGCTCGGAATTCAGAATCGCTAACACTTTTCTTTAGCTGTTTTTCGAATGTAGGATCCTGTAAAGAGAATATTTAAAAGAGTTATAGTATACACGAGAAAGCCTTTTTTCACATTTCTAATTTCTCGATGATGATGAGTTGATATTTAAGGATAATGATTTTTAAAAGTACTAAAACAATCAAACTAACATCACAACTAACAAGAGTATGGGTAATAATTCACAATACTTAAAATTCTGTGGAAATGTATT